AGCTAAAGCTTTTACTTGGGAAAATGGTGGCATCTTACAAAAATGTGTACAAGGCATAATATAATGTCATCAGGGAGAACAACCTGTGGTGGTGGTTGGACTGGATTCACCTAACAGGCACATACTGCTTGTTTAAAGGCTGTTCCATAATAATGTAGATGATTACATCATATGATAATGTATCATAATCATGAATCATAATCAACATGTAAATTTGTATCCAATTTTTACTAGCAACATAGATTCATTTAAAAGAAGGAATGTACAAAATTGTATCAGCTAACTATGCAGTGCACCAGATTATGGGGGTTAAAATCAACAGAGTATATTAAGGTTTGATTATTTTTTTACATTTTTTAGATAACACTTTTAAAAATAACACAACTTTTTAGGAGTTTTATATACTACAAAACCTCACAATCTCAACCAGAAACAAATTTTAAAGATTAATATTGGTTTATGTTCTGCAATTAATTTAAATGCCATCATTAAACAAAATGAGAACATTCAAATCATGTTCAACAGTTTTATAAAACTGATCATGCTCATAGTAGGCAAAAATGAACCCTATATGGAATATACAAAAAACAATAATAATACGTCAGGTTGAATAACTGTTATATGTGCATTTTTAGTATAGTTTATTGTTCCATAAAGATTGTTTTGCTGAAGGTCACTCATGTGCATTACCTAAAATATAAAATATATAATAAATAACAAATTTTACAGAATGTTAAATTCTTTAATACATTTTCTCCTTAGCATATTTATACTTCTGATTTCTAAAATTATTGATTTAGCATCAACAATTAATACCATTGTATTTAAATAATCTGCAAAATCTACCACTTGGTTTACAGAGCCATAGTGTAAAAAGGGAGATGGTATTTTAAACTCATCCTCAGCCTAAATGCTCTGAATAATATACCCCTGGCTATGCTTACTGGACCCTTTAATGACCTCACAAACACACAGATTAAATATACATTTGTTGTCTGCTGCTTCATTAAGCACAATAATTGAGAAATACACTAGTTAAAACCACAAAGTTTCATATTCCAATAGTATATGGGCTGCAGCAACCAAGGATTTCAAATTCTAGAAAAACGTATACAAAGTAATAAGTGTGTACATTATAGTCTAATGCTAGGCTCCAAATTAATATACAAGTGACTACAATGGTGAATTGGTAGATTATATTAAGAGATCTGAAAGAGTCTTTCAGAACTATAAATAGATAAACAGTATGTAAAAAATATGAAGTCTTATCATGAATAAAGAGACGTTATAACATTGTTGTTAATGCCTGAAACAATTTATCAACCAGGTTAAAATATTGGCAGAAGCCATTTCAGCATTTACTGTAATTTATTATATATATATTTTTTTTTTTTAATTTGTAAAAGAATGGTAAAGAATTTGAGAATGCAAGGACTAGCAAAAAAATATGTGTGTATGGATAACAAACTTTTTTTAAACATAAATGTAAGCAGAACAGACTAAAATGAAATGCAATCAACACAAAAATTGGTACTGTTGTAACTTCTTTTCAATCTCTATAATAACAGTCTGTTGGATGAAAAAAAAAGTCTTGTTTCCAGGTTGCAGTGCATTTTGCTTTAAATTTCAACAAGAGCAAAAATCTATATAAAATTGCTACATTATTTGCTTATACATGGGGTAGTCAAATCTCTAACTAATGTTGTCGCTACACTAAATAATAAATTAGAATAGTATCCATTGTTCCTTATTTTATCAGAAATAAACCTACCATACAGTGATCCAGTTGAGTTTGGACAGCATCCTGCTCCACACTGTTCATATCTAGAACTGGTAACTCAAAGGACACTTCATCCAAAATTCTTTTAGATTCTGTAAGACGCTGTTCAAAATTTGCTGGTTTTTGAAATAATCTGAATTTAGTGGCAACTTCTTGTAGTTTTTTCTGGAGCATACATAGTAATATATGAAGAAAATAGAAAGAAAAATGAAATGCAAACAAGTAATCAAATGCATTTATTATACTAGTCACACTGGTGAAAAACATGTTTCATGAACTCACACACACTGATAAATTAAGCAAGATATTTCAAAAAACAGGTTTGTCTTATTTAACCGTTTTGCTGCCAGGCCCTGCTCTCCACTTTTAAACTCAGGTGGCCAGGCCTTTTTTTAAAAACAGTCCCTTTCTCTGAACTGCACTGCACATGAATGAATAGGAGTCTGTATAGAGACTCCTATTTACTCACAAACCTGCAGTATAGTAAACAGTGTTTACTATACTTCAGTGATGAATGGATTGAAGAGCAATCACTACTGATCACTCACTATATCCATTCAAGGAAAGGAAGGGGGCTGGTAAACACATGAGAGCTGGACAGCAGGGGACAGATGCTAGAGGATCAGTGGAGCTCCAGGGGACAGATTGCTGGTGCCCCAAGGGAGAGATCAATGGAGCCCCAGAAGAGAGATTGGTGGAACCCAAAGGGATCGGTGGAGCCACAAGGGATTGGTGGATGCACACATGACAGATGAAAGAATCAATGATCTGGGATGGCATTGCGGGGATCAGATTAAGGGGGGAGAAAGTACATTTTTAAAAAGCACCTGTGGCTGCTGTGCAGCACCTGAAGCTAGTGGCTGCAGGAAAGCCACAGGAGACTGGGTCAGATCGGTGAAAGGGTTGAGACAGGGGAAGCAGCATGGCAGCAGCAGCGGCGGGATGGAGGGAATGTCACATTTTAGTTGCATAGCTGTGATCAGTGGCTTGTTAGCCACTAATCAGAACTTTATGTTTGTTCAACAGAGTCTGCTGAACAATTCTGCTATAAGTTCAAGGTCACTGAAGTGACCACATGCTTACAGCAAAGGAGGAAAGCAGGTCTGTGTGGCGTAAAGACCTGGCCAGCTAGAAGCAGTGCTTTAGGTCCGTAAGCTGTACGGATCTAGCATTGAAAGGCTTAAATGCTCATCATTGCTCAAGTTCCAGCTTGGAAGGATGAAACTAATTAGACTTTGTGAATTAAATAAAAAAATAAATCATCTGTGCTTATATCATCCCAAGAATATCAGTTTGGTAGCTGCTGCTGTAAAGTGCTGAAAAATAATTGCCTCAAGATGTATGAAAAAACAAAAAACAAACCTGTTTTGGAAGCAGTGTATTTCCTTCAAACAAGGTATATCAGTGCAAACAAATTTGTGATAAATTATATATACATAAGTCCACACTATGAAAAAAAGCTAATGTGCTCAGTGCTACTCCAAATGGCCTCCAAATAAAAGCACTGTTAGTTCAGTAAGATAAAGTGCTCTGCAATGCATAAAGTGCTCTGCTATGGGATCCCTTCAGATAGAACCATAGTGCCTCAGGTACACACTGCACTTACTGAATTGTTATGGCCCCTTGTATTAACAAGTGAGTCAATAAGCACTTGAGATGGCCCAGGGATGATAATACTCAGCACATTTAATAGTCCCCCATCCGGCTCAAGAGAATCTTCTCAGATGTCCTTTCATGTTGCCCAGGAAGGCATCTCAAAGCAGCTGTAATTGAGGCATCACACCAAATGTCTCATTGTGTCAAACAATGTTGACATTGTACAGAGCTTCTGATCACTACAAACTTCACTACAATCATCAATGTGTGTCAACCGGAGCCCAGGAGGTTAGCAAAAGTCTAATTGACTTGATTTCCAAACCCAAATGCTGGATTATTTTTCCACCTTCATTGCCTGCTACCAAAGCTTGCAGCAGACCCCAGCAGTTGAATGTGGAGGGTGTGTTGGGTGAAGTTGTTAAGGCTTCCTGGGATCTCAATTGCATTTAAAAGGATAAAGCAATAAATAAACCAATGGAGGTAGAGAAGTTTGTGATGGTCAGATGTTTTGCATGATGTCAATATTGTTTGGCATAATGAGCCATTTCGTAATAACACCCTCTTTGGGATACTTTCCTGGGCCACAAGAAGGGGCATCTGAGAAGATTCTCTTGAGCCAGATAAAGGAATACTAAAGGGGTTGCGTATTATTATCTCTGGACCACCTCAAGCGCTTGTTGACTGACTTGGTAATGCAAGGGGTCATAGCAATCCTGTGAGTGTGGTGTGTACCTGGAGCACTACAGATCTATCTAGAGGGATCCCATTGCAGAGCAGTTTATGTGTTGCAGAGCATGTTAACTTGATACACTTACAGCACTTTTATTTGGAGGCCGTTAAGAGTGACATTGAGCACTTTAGCATGATTTGGACTTTTATCTTAATGTGAACTTTTGTATATATGATTTAAAGCATCACAAATTTTTTTGATAATCAAATACTGTGCATACCCAAGTGATTGACAAGGTAAATTAAAGTGTTCTCAGTCTCTAAAATGCTGTCATATAAACTCTTATGGGCGTTTTAGTAAATTAAGGCCTTATTACATACAATGCCATGTCAATCCACAGTAAATTCTGTTAACAAAGCTGAAGCTTCTGTAGGACTTGAGTCCGGTTCTGCCTATAATAGCAGTTTCTAATTGTATAGCAGTTTCCAACAGTGAGTTGTGCCACTGGTATAATTTGCCAGTGGCACAAAGTATTGCTTGCACAACATGACACACTTATTTTTGCCATGTGAAATTCCTCTTTAAAGCATATATTATATCTGAGTTTTTCATGTTTACTTATGTATAGCTGAAAGTGCAATCTCCAGATTTCTCAGCTCAGCATTAAACCAAAGTCATCTTAAGAAAATTGACAATTAACTGTTATTTTCAAAATCTAGAAATATCTGTATTTGTATGCATGTGTACTAAGCCGGGGTAGATTTAAGATAGAAATTATGAAAAACTTCCATTATTGTGATGCAATAACACACAGGCAAAAAAATGTGAACTATGTAACCTTTTGACCTTTATTTACATACATTTAAAGTGTTGCCTGTATCTCCTACTTTTAACAATAAAAACATTACTTACCTGAGCAATTTCAATCTGCAATAGAACTTTTTTAGACATTTCCTTTCCTTGGATTCTTTTTTTCATCTCATCCAAACTAATCTCATGGCTTAATAACTCTGACTGTATTTTCTAACAGGAAAAATAGAATAGCATTAGGTTATGCTGCATACAATATTTATTATCTACAAATTAAGTAACAACTAGAAATAATAATATAGGAAGCAGAAGGTTACATAAAAAAATGATATTTTGTAGAATTGTATCTTATGAGATTTTTTAGAAGTGCATGTATCCTTCTTCGTTTCTTAATGTATAATACTTAAAACACCAATGCTAAGGTAATTTATTGCAGGTGAATCTGAATTCCTGCACAAAACCTATGGTGACCTTAGCAACTTACTGTATGATATTATTCAGTTACCTATGGAATACTATGGCACATATAGTGATGGGCCAAATGCCCCCCTGTTCGGTTTGTGATCGAACATTCTAACCTAACGAAAGTACAACCACAAACCAGGACAATTCACTAGGCGGTATCTTACTGCATCTGCTTTCCCGCTGACGGCTGAATGTAAAAAAAATAGCTGGCAATTAAAATTTAGCAAAAAAAAAAATGGTGTGGGGGCCACTCCATCCATACCAAGCCCTTTGGATCTGGCATGGATTTTGAGGGGTACCCCCACGCCAAAATAAAATAAAAAATCTCCCCCAAATACATACCAGACCCTGATCTGAGCATGCAGCTTGGTCAGGAAAGGAAAGGGATGAGTGCCTAAAACATACCAGGCCACATGCCCTCAACATGGGGGAGTTCTTTGGGGCAGGGGGGCTCTCCCCCAAAGCACCTTGTCTTCATGTTGATGGGGACAAGGGCCTCTTCCGCATGGCCTTTGTTTGTGGGGGGTCTGTGGGCATGGTGCTAATCAGAATATGGAAGCCCCCTTTAACAAGGGGGCCCCCAGATCCCAGCCCCCCTATGTGAGTGAGTATGGGGTACATGGTATCGCTACTCATTTACAAAAAAAAGTGTAGTGTAAAAATGACAGAAGACAGTCTTTGACAAATTCTTTACCAAAAACAAAAAATAAGATCCAATGTCAATCACGATACCCACCGCCACCGCTGAACCGAAACTAAAAAAAAAAAAGAAAAACCTCTCCACTCTCAACGCTAGCTCATGGCCATCTGATAGCTGCGCCGGCCTGACAGTTCCTAAATATCTAAGAGGCAGAGCCACCCTGTGATGTTAACTGGGTGACCCCACCCCCTTGTAATGTCATTATGCACTGCGATTGACTGAAACATTGCACTTAACCTGTGCTCAGGTGCATTGCTTTGGCCAGTTACAATGCACTGTCAGAACGCAATGCATTGTGCGACACAGTGAACACATGAACGGCCAATGTTCGAGTCAAACATCAAGCCCAACTCTAGCCACATGTTCATTGGACTCAGTAGAAGCCTAAAGGTTCAAGTAGATATGTACTAATTATCAACCCTGGCTTTTGCATTTTAATGCAGTGCTACTAATAACATAAATTCAAATTCAAAACACACCATGTTTGTCAGCAATCCAAAGGGATCTCAATAGAACCTGCTAGATCCAAACCAATGAAATACAATGCAGTGCAATGCAAGCTATTTAAAATGCATCTTCTAAACTTCATCCATACTATACTGTTAAATAAATGTACATCTGAAGAAATTATGCTTCAAATGCTTGAAAGCAATGCCCATATACAATGTGTTCCAAATTATTATGCAAATTATATTTCTCTCATTTACCTAAATAATTGATGTAAATAACAGTCAGCATAATTCTCATGTTATCAACTATTAAGAGTACAATTCACATGTTATTGAACAAACCTCCTAATGATAACAGTATTTTTTTTAAAAAAAAAAAACTTACAATGCACTGTTCCAAATTATTACGCACAGTAAGTTTCAAAACACTTTATAGGTTGTAAAGAACTGAAAATTGTCATTTGTTGTGTTTGCAGCATATTTATTGAAATCAAAGCTATTTCAATCAAACTTTTAGCAACATTTTAACTTTTTAAACATTTTAACAGGTCACGTTACATTGTAACATAGGACCCCTTATTTGATAGCAGGTTCACAAGTCTTGCATCCATTGAACTTGTGGGTTTTTTTGGACAGTTTCTGCTTGAATTTGTTTGCAAGATGTGAGAATAGCCTCCCAGAGCTGCTGTTTGGATGTAAACTGCCTCCCACCCTGATAGATCTTTTGTTTGAGGATGCTCCAAAGGTTCTCAATAGGATTGAAATCAGGAGAGGATGGAGGCCACACCATGATTTTCTCTCCTTTTATCCCCATAACAGCCATTGATGCAGAGGTATTATTTGCAGCATGAGATGGTGCATTGTCATGCGTGAAGATGATTTTATTACGGAAAGGGAAAAGCATAGTTCTTCCTTCTGTACCAGGGAAGAAAGTGGTCAGTCATAAACTCCACATACTTTGCAGAGGTCATCTTTACACCTTCGGGGCCCCTAAAGGGGCTGGCCAGCTCTGTTCCCATGATTCCAGCCCAAAACATGACTCCACCACCGCCTTGCTGATGTCGCAGCCTTGTTGGAACAGGGTGGCCGTCCACCAACCACCCACTACTCCATCTGGACCATCCAGGGTTGCACGGCACTCATCAGTGAACAGGACTGTTTGAAAATTAGTCTTCATGTATTTTTCTGCCCAATGCAGCCGTTTCTGCTTGTGAGCATTGGTTATTGGTGGCCAAATAGAAGGTTTATGCACAGTAGCAAGACTCTAGAGGGCTCTACACCTTGATGTCCGTGGGACTCCAGAGGCACCAGCAGCTTCAAATATCTGTTTGCTGCTATGTAATGGTACTTTAGCAGCTTCTCTCTTGATCCGATGCATGGATCTGGCAGAAATCTTCCTACATGTGCCTTTATCTGTACGAACCCATCTGTGCTCTGAATCAGTCACAAATCTCTTAATAGTGCGATGATCACGCTTAAGTTTTCGTGAAATATCTGATGTTTTCATACCTCCTCCAAGGCATTGAACTATTTCACTCTTTTTGGCAGCAGAGAGATCCTTTTTCTTCCCCATATTGCTTGAAAATGGTGCTCTGCTTAATAATGTGGAACACCCTCCTTTAGTAGTTTTTCCTTAAATTGGGCTCACCTGCCAATCTAATTATCACAGGTGTCCGAGATTGTTTTCAGTGATCAAAAGAGCCCTGACACACAATGCCATCCATGAGTTAAACTGAAAAACAAAATATTTAATCTTTGTGACACTTAAATCGAATTTGCATAATAATCTGGAACACAGTGTACACTAACACTTTAAAAGCTAATATAGAATGGAGGGGGGGGGGTTATAATCAACTAACAGTAGTGAAATCTGTTACCAGTTTGTTATCAGCAACCATGCTTGGGGTTTTCTTTTAGTCCAATATGGCTAAAAGTATTTCCCAAGGGTCTTTCACTTGGATTTACACTTATGTACTCCAGTCATCAGTATGACAAACCATCTTTCAATTCTATGTATGTGTTAAACTGTATTGGTAAATTTAACAAATATAAGTCACCATTTCTAACACAAACTAGAAATATAAATATTTTGTTACTGGAGATGCAGGCATTATTATTAGATTTACATCCACAGCACTTTACATATATATTGTATATTCACATCAGTCCCTAACCCTCAAGGGGCGTACAATCTAAGGTCAGTAACTCACATTCATACATACACATACTAGGGCCAATTTAGACAGGAGCCAATTAACCTACCAGCATGTCTTTGGAGTGTGGGAGGAAACCGGAGTACCCGGATGAAACCCACGCAGGCACAGGGAGAACATGCAAACTCCAGGCAGGTGGTGCTGCGGTTGGGATTTGAACCGATGACCCTAGTACTGCCAGGCGGAAGTGCTAACCATTTAGCCACTGTGCTGCCCATTTAGTGATCTTTCATCTACACTTTTACTGCATCCTTAAATATAAATAAAACTATTTACTTGATGTTTTCCCAGCAGTAACATTATTTACAATAAAATGTAATATCTATCAAACATCGTAAGGTTGTATTTAAACTCTAATTAAATAAATCCAGGATGTAAACTGAAAAAATATTGTTGCTTTGGAATCCTCAAACCTGACACAAAAGAAAACTTTTCAATGTATACAACATTTTGCAGCACATAAAGTCATTTCTACTAACAATATAATGTGTGTATATTCTTGCTGTCTCCTGTGCCTGTTAGTGAATGGAACATATCTATTCTGAGTTTTTGAATAGCGTTTACACATTATTTGATTCTAATCAGAGTAGGAAATGTAGCAGTCGAAATCAGAGCTCTGTGACTATAGACGGTGCTGAGGTATGAATTGTGGTCTGTTTATTATTTTTTGGCTTTTTCAGTTTATTGAATCTTGTATTCTGAATCTGTAGCCTCTTCCAAAAGTAATCACTGCTCGTCAGATGAAAATTAATAATTCAGTATGACTATGTGGTATTATTCAATCAACTTATCCTACATTCCCTTTTTTTATACTCTTCACTGGGTCTATTTGTTATGGATGTGCAAAGAACCAGGATGACGTGCTAAAAACATTTTCTCACAGCAACCAATCATATTTCGGTTTACTGTTGTCTTATTTTTTGGATTATTTCTGACTGGTTGTTAGGAATTGATAGGAATCATCATTCTTTGCACTGCCTTTTTAAATAGGCATGGTTGTGTGAGCATATGTGTTGTTTAACTAACATGCTAGTGATTTTCACAGGGTACTTATAATTCTTGGTTTCAACCACAATAACTTTTTCTGAAAACAATAGTTGCCGTATTGATTCTGACTTCAATACTTTGAGTCACTGACCTATAACAATGCAAAAGAAAGAGTTCGATCTTCACTGTGACTTTCCTGACCCATATGCTGTAGGTCAAGGTTTTACAAGTATTTAAGTCAGAGTCAGCAAGACAATTAGCATTTTCTGAAGGAGATTAGATTATATTCAAGAAAGCCATGCCATCATTATACTCCATAGCACTTCAACACACTTTTTGTCCATCGCCAAATTTTGTCCCTCAGCCATCTCACTCACTGCAATTGTTCTCTAGATCTAA